TCTAATGTTTTTACAAAGATGATTTCTTTTCGGTGGACAACCACCAGGAATCATGCTCCGATTTGCAAGTGTAGCACTTTTTCAACAGGACCGAAACGATATTTAGGATGGTCATTTTTGATTTTCTCAAGAGTGTCCCCGAAAAATTGAAAATAAACACAGTAAAAACAGGAAAATTTACGATATGTAGTTTTGAAATTGATTGAAAAATATTTTAGGCTTTTTTTTTTTATCTGTGAACAACTTTATACCAGCAATTTCGCACCGATTAACAATTACGGTACTTTTTCTTAAAGTCTGGATTAGTACTTCAAAATAGTCTTTTTTTGGTTTCTACAGGAGTGTTCCTAGTAAATTGGGAAAAAACGGAATAAATGTAGGAAAATGGAAAAATAGGTTCAATATCAAACAAATATTATAAACGAAAATATTTAATGCCTGTTATTATTTTAATATCATATGTCATATTTATTGATAATGAATCAACTCTTTTGTCTCCACTCAATATCGTTTTTTTTGTTAATAATGGTTTCTCTTTGCTTAAAGATAGATACATTAAATTCCCCCTCTACTAATTTCCCAACTTCTCATTTAAATCTGTTGCCCACACACGTGAAAAGTTGCATGGCTTTTTTTGTGAAATATTCTCGATAGTATCTATAATAACACATTTTTTCACCTAGATGATCTCTACCGTGTATACGTGTACGGTACTAATAAGTCTATAGGGCAATGGTTCTTAACCTTTTTCGAATGACGGAATACTTTTATACGGTTCTCGCGGAACACAGTCGTGAAATTAAACAGTATTTATATATATTTTTGAATTTTTTAGTAAATTTAACAATGCATGTGTAGTATACAATAGTTTGCATACATGTTAGTCACTAAAAGATAACAAATAATAAAAAAATTTTAAAAAAATTGAATAATTTGAAACGGAATATTTTGTATGAGATATTTAAGCCTGATGATTTTTACAGATATTTTCAATATCATATGTAGGATATTGCTACTCTCATTTTCTTTTCTATATTTGTAGACTTTCCCGTTTCTTTTAATTGATATTCATTAATTTTAAAAACCCAAGCTCACAAAAATAAAATGTTGAAATTTGTAATAAAATTTTAATTGCTTTTTCAGAAATTGTTTTAAATTCGGTTTGAATGGAAATCAAAAATGATTTTATTGTAATTTTGGAAAATTTTATTTTGAGAGTTCGATCTGTTGTAAGCGTTATTAATTCTTCTTCTTCTATATACGTAAATAACATATATATATATATATTCTATACTCCATACAGTTATGCAGATTTTATATTTTTGTGTTTTGTGTTTTGGAAGTCCATTAAAGTCAAAATGTTAAAACAATGAAACTAAAAATTTAGTTTAATTTATGAATTTTTTTTCTCTGATTTTAAATTTTGATGGAACACTTACACTATGTTCGCGGAACACAGGTGTTCCATGGAACACCGGTTAAGAACCACTGCTATAGAGACGGTGAATATGAGAAGATCATTCAACGACCATAACAATTTGCGCTCAGGTATGCAAGGGTATGTATTATACGGAATAAATTCTCAAGTATTTTCTGTATGAGATTATTATAGATTAAAAGTGTTTATACCATTTATGGAAAATTATTTTAAACAATAAACTACTCGATTACTTACATTAACTACACGCCTACATTTTTAAAAACTGAGAGAGTGAGTAATATATTATTTTTACAATGATGATTGTTTTTTTTTCCGTTGGCAACTTTTCTACCATCAATTTTCAGAATCCTCCATAATGATTCAAATAGATTTAAAATTGTCTTATCGTTTTTGATTAGAACGAAAAATCTGGTACAAAAATTGTACACAAACATAAGAAAAAAACTTCGCACACATCGTAGTGAAATGCGTATTCGCAGAATCTAAAATGATATCTGCAACAAAAATTGTATGCAATGATATCGAAATATATTAAATTATAGAGATATAATTTATACGTGTACAATAATTATGGCTGACAATATAGTTATTATTTTAAAGGGTGGCTTTTTCTATGTGACTATTTCCATATCTAAAGTTATTCAAAATGGGGGCTCTACAAGTCCAGAAAGTAAAATCACGGAACGTAAAAGCACAGAAAAAATATCTAAAATGTAATTACAGAACGTAATACAGATGCGATTAGTAGATCTCCGGAAAGTAATACCAGCGCATTTAAGTCACGCTATAAATATGATTTTACGGTCAATGTCAACTGTATGTGAATTTGTTATGTATTAATTGTAATTATACTGAGAACTTTTGTTATTATTAATGTATAATAAATACATAAGTATATTATAGTTTTACAGTAAAAATACAATGCATATCTCGCTTTGCTCATAATCAAATAAATGTATACAAAAAAAGTTTCTGTACTCGATCGTTTTAAATATAAAACGTAGATGCGATTTAAAATTTGACTTTTACTTCGTTAAACCAACTCAGCTTAAAATATCAGAATAGAGATCACGGTACCAACCACTTCTGTGCCACATTAAATCCGGCAGATTATTGGTATACTTAATGCTCTTTTATTGTGAGTATTTCTAGTAAATTGCAAATGAAATATAAAATGCTATCACTCGAGAATAACAATAGTATACTATAAATCATCCACCACACCTGACCTTCGCGTACCTAAGTATATTATATTCAAATTTAAAGCATTTATATATTCATAAGATAGGTATAGGTTTTTTATCATGTTCGCCGGTTACAAACCTTAGTCCTTAGTAGACAACTACATTAGACATTATAAAACTATACAACGAGAAAGAGAGAAAAACAGAGAGAGATAAACATTTACGAATAAACGTTGTTTTTTTTTGTATCTATGGACAATTTTTATAACAGAAACCTTCCTCTGATGTATTAAGAGTGAAGAACTTTTACTTATAAAAAATTGTTTATAGTTGGTATATTGAGGTGCACATTGTTTGATTAATTTCATTAATCGCAAAACTATAAAAATAACATAAATCTAGGCATAAATACTATAGACAATGCCCAAAAAACAATATAGGTATGATGTTATTATTGAAAGGTGTATTTGAGATTCAAAATTCGCACATATGTTAATACAATGAAACTAAAAATATTATGCTATTGAAACATAAAATACATAGCTCGAAAGTTATATACGCTTTCTAATAAATTCACAGTTTAATGACAGTCGTAGGAAATATACTAAGGTACATGGTACTAAAGTTTTGTCAAATTAGTAAATACGCTGAAATATGTTTTAATGGACTTTAAACATTCGTTAATTTTAACTTTTAAAGACATTTTTCCAACATGAAATATAAATGGATATTTTTTTTCATTTTGCTTGGTGTGAAAGTTTGTGATTTTAATTAATTTTTGAGTTCAAATTTTGATAACGATATTTTCTCTAAATAAAAATAGAGCTATTGTATACCTTACCTTTTGTTGCGAGTAGTGGATCTTCTGATTTTCGGTGTAAGACTTAATAGGTAAGTTTAAAATGTTTTGATCCAAAAATGTCTGGTTTTGAAATAACAGTTATTTTATTTAGCAGATTATTATAAAAATGCTTATTTTCAATGTTAAAATTTTGACAAATTATTAACAGGTCCAATTTAAAAGCACAAAAAAATAACCGCAAACATTAATATCCCGAAATATTTTACTTACACAAGCAAACTTTCTCAAGGGTATTATATAATGATAATGCTTTAAACAATAAAATTGTTCACAATATTATAGAATAATCAATAAATAAACGATAATTTATTTAATAATACTTCAAAATAAACGAAATTAATTGAAAATAAAAAATTACCACATTATTCTAAATTACAAATTAAGTAAGAAAATTTACCGTGGACCAAAAAGCTGGGTTTGATTTCAATATTTACGCACTTTAAATCTTCAATTAATTTTAAATATGCAATACACTGAACTAATTTGCAATCGCTTGAAAAATCTGTCACTGATCTAAGTTTCGTTCTCTGTCCTTCGCTTAGCCTTAATTTATATTTTGAGTAGATCTGCTGTAAATCACTTAAAGTCTTAAGATTTATTAACCACATAAAAATAGAATTTAAATTAGCATCTCCTAAGACACTTTACTGTTCACTTTTCGGGCCTATTTTTGAATACGGCACGGTCATTTGAGGTCATAATACTGCGCATAACGCGATAATTCTTGAGCAAGATAAAAATAAATTTTTAAAATGTGCCAGTCATGTTTTCAGGATTGATTTTATTCCTCATAAATATTTACAAGTACTTGAGCATCTCAAACGGTATTCACTAGCACATCATAGGCATGCTGCTATTCTTAAATTCATTTGTAAATTATTGAATGGGCAGATTGACTTACCACACATATTCACTCTAGTTCGTATGAATGTAGTTTCGGGCTTTAAGCGTCAATATAACACATTTAATGTACCGACCTTTTTCACTATTTGTGGACTAAGTGAAACACAACGGCGCTATATGTTTAATGCCAATTCAGACTCCCCCTTTTTAAACTCATAAAACTAAATAAAACATTTTTTATGAATGTATAGGTATTCTGGTTTGTCTCTATTTTCATAGTAATAAATTAATGCAACTAATACAACACTGAACACTGTATAACAATGGACGACTGTGCAATTCCTTGTATGTTCTGAAATAAATAGTCTATGCATGTTCATTGCTCAAGAAATAAAATAAAAAGACCACGCCATATACAAATCACAGTTAATCTCATAAATTCTTCAATACGCTCAGAATTTAAACGATTTTACACAAACTAAACAAAACATATATTAATACCATCATTTTAATTTTAGTTTTTTTTTAATACATATCAAACAATAAAAGGTAATAAGGTGAACCATTTCAGTAAATTCATATAATCCCCAAACCACAATAACGTTATATGTTGTAAATTTTATGGAAACAACAATATAGCTTATAAGTTATAACATACAAATCATTCGATTTATAAGGTTTCCCAAGGTCGCTTAATGTCCATTATTAAATTAATGCATGACATTTCATTGTTTCTTTTGTCATATGATGCAATTCGTGTTTTGTACGTCCCATAAAAGAATTGTTTTGGTACATTTGAATTTGCTACATAACTCGTGACATCAAAACCACTTGAGAAGTATACACCCTACACATAAATATATGTTTTATAAATATAAGATTAATAGGTTTAGTAAAATTATATTTACAGGAGGAATTGGACAATCTCCTTTATAATCAATATTTTTCCTGAATTCTTTTGGCAATGCTGAACCCATCAAATTTTTAAATGCTGTACATAATTTAGGTTGTCGCAAAAAAAACGCATTTTCTTTCCAACCTCCGATTGAGTCTTTGATAGCCATATTCATAGACAACTATAATCAAATGTTTTTTATTTAATTTTACAACCATAACATAATATGTAATTATAACTATTATAACTGTATTAAATGTTAAATTATAATTTTAATTAGGTAATATAATATATTCTTTGCCTTTGATATACATGTTTATACATATCATGTTTATTTGGCCAAACAGATCCTGAGATAAGTGAGTCTATATATACTCGTACGACAGCTTCAACTTTATACATAAATGAAATTAATAACTTTAGTAAGTAAATATACTCAGTCGAGTTTCATATTTTGACTGTGATACCTGTTGATGCATTTTCAATTCAAACCGGCGGTTTAATACTCCAGTCGACCTATTGATCCATTTATTTATTTTATTTTTATAAATACATTTTTTTATTTGTCTATTTATTTACTATAATTATTTACTTTATTTTTTTATAAGTAATAAACACTTTAATAATTTTATTTTTACTATATTATTTTATAATTTATATATAAGATTAAATAGCTAATTAAACTAATATTTACAAAGTTGAAAAAAATTGAAGAGTTTCGAAAATCCTATATCATTATAAATGACTGCATATTTATTTTTATTCTTAAATAAACAAAAATTAAATATTTTAAAATTTAAATTTATTTGAACTTACATCGATTGAATCGTCGAATTGTTTCTTTAATGTAATATTGCCTCTAATTTCAGAAGCGTTATTTGATATTTTATTTAAATATAAATTATATATATAAATATGTTCTATTCGTCTACATTGTATAATCGCTCTGAGATATACCTTGTATTCTCCCTAGAAGGTTAAATAAATAATTACATAGCAACAAAATTGGTACATTCGTATGTGAAAAATTTAATGTCGGTGAATTATAATAGTTACTTACAACTGGAAGATTTGGAAAAAAGATGTTTTTTACATTTAACGCTATTACACTTGGTATTATTAATATCAAAAATATTATTAAAAACTGCATATCTTTCGTGTTTGTATTTTTGTTTGCATTTAACATGGGTTCAATAGGTACTCATAAATAGTATACCTATACAATAATGATTAAAAATAAAGTTATTTTTGAAATTTACAATTTTTGACTTTAATTCTGTAATTATTTCGATATCGAATATGATTTAGTACCAGCTGTATGCAATATTATTTTTTGTGTTTGTAAAATGTTCAATAAGTACTCATATATAATGTACTTGTACAATTATGATTAAAAATAAAGTTATTATTTAAAGTTACAATGTTTGACCTTAATTCTGTAATTATTTCGATATCGAATATGATTCAATACCATCTGTATGCTATATTATTTTTGCGTTTGTACCTAATTATTTTTAAATCGTTTGTTATCTTGTATTACAATGAACTTACAATCTTTAAATACGATGTAATATTATCTCTATTACTGAGCTCACATTTAAACTTTTTCCACTCGGCTCGGAAATTTTAACATTTTATGTAAAAAAAAATATGTATTTACAATATCATAAATGTAAAACATAGGTAATTTAATTTATAGAATGTAATAATTGTTATATAACAATAAAATATTTTATCAAACAACCGTTTTTGAAATGTACTGTAGAATTATCGTTGAATAACCAAGGAAATAGTATACATATTGTCAATAACCGCAAAATAACAATAATTCAACCAATCAATAGATGCAAAATAAAATTTACACCTCCTCTTTTTTGCTTTTATAGATTCCGAGTGGAATGAAAAATTAAATGGTTTAAAATGATGATATCTTTTCGGTGGACAACTTCTTTACCGGGAATCTTGTTCCGATTTGCAAGTATAGCACTTTTTCTGAAAGGAAATCAAACTGTAGGTGTACTTTAAGGAGGTTATTTTTCGAATATCCCAAGAATTTTCCCAGTAATTTGGGAATAACCGGTAAATTATTTTGGGAAACCAGAAAAAATGTAGGAAAATGAGAAAATAGGTACAATACTAAAAAAAATGTCCGCATCAGTATGTGAACTGTACATTTGGTATTAGAATGTATACATCAATTGTGATGATCGGAACAAGATTTCCAGGAAAAAAAAAACAGAAAAAGATTACACCATTTATCATCATAGTTAAGCTGATACATTGTTCACTGCGCTCAGAATTTGAACTATTTTACATAAATTAAACAAAAAATGAATAAATACCATAATTTTATTTTTAGTTTTTTAAAAACACGTGACAAACTATATAAGTTAACAACGTGCACCACTTCAGTTAATCCATATTATCTCCTAACCACAATTTCGTTATATGTTGTAAGTAATTGTTACTTATGTAAATAATAATATGACTTATAACATACAAATTAAACAATTTATAAGGTTCCTCGAGAACGTTTAATTTCTAATACGAAATTAATAAATGACATTTGATTTTTTTTTTCTTCAATAATTCAATTCGTGTTGCTACGTCGCATTAAAGAATTGTTTCTGTGATATTTTCATTTGCTAATAATCTCGTGACATCTAAACTACTTAAAAAGTATACCCCCCGAATGTAAATATATTTTATGAATATAGCATTAATAGGTCTGGTATAATTTTATTTACAGGGGAAATTGTACAATACCCATTATAATCAATATTCTTCCTAAATTCTATTGGCAATGTTGCACCTATATCCAACAATTTTTAATTGATGTACATGTTTTGGATTTTCGGAAAATAGAAGCATTTTCTTTCCAACCACCAAGTGCGTCTTAGACAGCTATATTCATAAACATCTAATAACAAATATAATATATTCTCTATAATTATAGTTAGGCAATATCATAATGTCTTTGTCTTTGGCTTTGTGCATGTCATGTTTGTTTGGCCAAATAATTTCTGAGATAAGTGAGTTTAAATATACTCGCACTAAAGCTTCAACTTTATACATTATTTTAGAAAGCTAATGAAACTAATATACACAATTGAAAACAATTAAAAAGTTTTGAAATTCTTATAATATAATTAATAACTACATATTTATTTTTAATAGATGCTTAAATAGACAAAAATGAAATATTTTAATGTTTAAATTTGTGTTAACTTACATCGGTTGAATTGCGCAATTGTTTCTTTAATGTAATATTACCTCTAATCTCAGACGCGTTATTAATTATTTTGTTCAGATCAAAATATATTTTCTATTTATCTACATTGCATAATCGCTCTAGAATACACTTTGTATTCTCCCTAGAATCATATAAGTGAATACATAGTAACAAAAATTGATTTATTTGTATGTGAATAATTTAATTTTGGTGAATTATTATTGTTAGATACTGACAACTGAGGGATTTGGAAAGAAGTCGTTTTTTGAATTTTAAAATACAAGTATTACACTTAGTGTTATCAAAAACATTGCTAAATCATACATGATGTTTTTCTAGTTCATTTATTTCTATTGTCATCAGCATCAAAATATCTATTTGATTCTGTAGATTCAATAATGGTCTATATTCTACTCGTACAACTATGGCTAAAAATATAGTTATTACGATAATTTTCAATGTTTGGCCTTATTTCAGTAAATATATTCATATCGAAAATTATTCAATGTCATCTATTTGAAAAAAATGTTTTTGCATAATCAAGAGTTATATTGAAATCGTTTTTATTTTATCATTTATATGACACTTTTTTCATAGTAAATTTACAATCTGTAAACATAACACAATATTTTTATTACTGGACACAGATTTACAATTTTTTCACTCCTCTCATATCAATCTAAACATTCGTTTTTTTATGTAAATTGAAAATATAAGTTTTGAAAGTTGTAAATATGTAAGGTAACTTAACTTGTATAAATATAACTATAGTATTAATAAATAATGTTAATACACAACCGCTAATTCAATATACCTACGTAGTTGTGTTATAAATATGACTGAATACTCTATTCATATCATTGAAAAACTAAGGAAATAGTATTAATATTGTTAATTCTCGCTAAGTAAGCCATATCAGCCATATATATGCATTAAGCTCACCCTTATGGATGTTTGGTAATGTACTCTAGTCTGTAATCATTGTCATGTAAATATTGATTTTCTTCTAAGTTCCAACGCTTTCCTGGTTTTTTTAAAATCAGCATTTTAAACACCTACAAGATAATTGATTCTCAAATTTTAAATTTATTTGATACTTTCGAAGACTTGGATAAAATATTCTTTAAAAATATTCAGTTTAAATATTCGAAAAAATAGAAAAAGTAGTATTATTTTATTTATAAATATTCCAAACACTTTTAGCAAATTATTGGAAATATTTTAGAAATGCACGTTAAAAAAAATAAAAGGTGGTTAAGTCAGGATAAATGAAGTGAACTTAGGCATCTATTGATATTAAATGATAAGTAACACGATATGCATAATACGTGGACTAAATAAAAATTCTTTTGCTAAGGTTATATACTTACCTGTACAATTGTATTTCAATTAGTAAAAATATTCTAGGTATCTTACGACTTTCCTAAATATGGTCATATGGTATAGATATATTTGAAACTACTATTTGATATATTTTAATTTAGATATTAGTTTCGGAAAGTTGTGTATTATTTTAATATTTCTAAATAAATACTTATTCAATAAGTATAGATCATAAAAAAAAAATGGAATTAATACTACTGAATAGTGTGTCACTGTTGTAGGTGGAAAGCTGAAAAGGTAGGCAACACAACGTTATTTAATTTGTATTAATACGCAATGATAAATTATGGCCAAAGAAAAACCATTCTGATAGTTCAATTAACATTTTTTTTAAGTATCACAATTTTTACGATTTTCATCAAGATTTAATCTTAAAACGCTTATTCAAAAAATAAAAAATACTACATTATTATTACTCCCTATTGTTTTAATAATATAGGTTACTTATATCCTGTATTAAACAAATAAAGATAAATTAAATTGTTTGGTAACGACTACTGACTAGGAAAAGATTACCATGATTCATAATTTTATGCACTTTGTGTATATCAGATTCTGAGTTTTCCTATATATAGGAGTTTTTTTCTTCAAAACATTATTGAAACTTCTTGTACAATTCTTGTTCTAGTTAGGGAACTGTGAATTAAAATTAATTTAATTTGCACACAAATAATATTACATAGATACTCACTTTGCAGACTTCGGATAATCTAACATAGTGAGAATATATACTAAGTATTTTCTATGGTATCTCTAGTTTAATGTGTTATAAAATTTATAAAATTTAACTTATACCCTTTTTCATGACCTTCCTCAAAATTCGTGTCATGCATTAATTTAGGCATGTTTATGCCTACGTATCACAATGCACCGTGCAAATGTAAACCAAAAAATTGAGTAATTACACATTATTGTTGTGTAAACATTTAAGGTTTCAATTTTGTATCATTCATTTTTAATCGCAATGGTTTTCTTTGTCTACTCTCATTCGTATTGCACTCGATAACCGGCCAACACGCGATTCAGCGTGTGAATTTACAATTTGAATACTCCAAATGTTTATTCGCATATACCTAATTTGTACGTAGCTAATTTACAAAAAACTTCAATATAATTTTATTAGGTTAGGTACCCAATCGCTATTATCAATAAATCTTAATGGTCACTAACTGCAGGTCTAGATAGGTAGGCAACTATTACCTATAATAATAACGTGGAAAAAGTTATTAGATTCAAGTTAAACTAAAATCATAAACAAAAAATAATACAATATGATATTTTATATATTTTATACACTTGCATTTATAGCATGTGAATATTACTTTTGACATTTACTATAATACACAGAGTAATCAATCCATCGTAAGACATTCATTATCTCGGAAAACATTAACTTTTTTCAGAACTTGTTTTAAAAAATATTTAAGAAACAAGCAGCTTTACAATTTTACATTTATGTTATATTTTGTTACCCTTATTTTTGGTGATAAAATTGCTACATACGTTTAATTTTAATATGGTATCCTGTATTCTATAAATATAGTTTAGGTCCAGGGAGGGTAGTAGTCCATTATTAAAACGTCCTGCGCCGTTCCACCACACAAATGATACTGTGCTACTCTCCACCAATGCAAATTTAAAAGTGGACTACCTCATCAACGGATTGACGAAAATCAAAAATGTCAACGCTAAAATTCTTTTTAACCAATACTTCATCTATTTGTGGAATTTGTAATGTATGTTGTATTTTAAAAATTAAAACTATAGGTAGTGTATTTACCCCTGCAAATAAAGCTGACAAAAAATAACGTAAATTTAAAATTATAGAACTATTAGAGCTACTTAGTTCTTAAATGTTTTATAACAAATTCCGGAAAAAGTTAATAATTTCCGAGATAATGAGTATCTTATGATAGATTGATCACCGTGTAGAAATACCATTAAAATAAAAAAATCATAGATGATTTCAACATCTATTTAAAAATCCTATGTATCATTAAATTCAAAAATTTGTTGAAATTATAATTTTATGAATTACAAGTTTTCAGGACTTTTGATATTATTTTTTAGATTAAATATAAAAATAATATTTTTGTACGTTACCGTATTTCACTTGAATAATAATTAAAAATAAAAATAAAACACCTACTAGATTCTTTCCATTTTAGTTACAAAACGCATACCAATAACGTATAATGCACAAAATAACAATAGCAATAACATTCATTTATTTGACAATGATCGTGATGCCAGAAAAACATCTTCCTACCATTATTATACTCATTGTCCATCGAGAATACAAATAATACAGCATCGACGATGACTACTTATAACATATTATGCAAAATACTGCAAACTAAGCTTTTGTAAGTTGGATAAATATAAGTACTATAGATACACGTGCGCATTTGAATATACATTTTAATAGGCACTTACAAAAATGAATTAGTTATTACCAAAGTTTTGAAAATAAAATATTCCCTTACGAAATAATACTGAAAATTGTTTAAAGAAATAGGCGAAATTCACAATTAAAATGATACCCATCACTGTGTTTTACGGAATAATTGAAGAAAATCCTGTCGACAAAACGGCCACAAAGTGTCTTAACGAAATTGATAGTACATTAATCTGTATTCTTTATCATTTTCTGAATTCTCAGAGTTATGATAAAAAATCGGTAAAAATACTAATGCTATTTTTAAGTGGAAATAGTTTTTAAAAAAAATGATTACTGAGACTTCTATTCCATTTGATACATTTTGCATGAAACAACGATTTTTCTAGATAAAAATGTATATGACATATGACTTATGATTTCAATTAAATTTCTAAATTATTATACATTCAGTACCAATAGATATTGATAATTTTTTAATCTCAAGTGATTTACCTTAAATAGTTTTTTTTATGTCTAGATTTTAAGTGTATGCAACTATTTTAATTATATATATATTTTTATGTTTTATATTTTTCCGCCAGAAATCTTGCTCCAATCAAAAAATAAAAACCATGCTTTTTGTAGCAATTAGAGTCTAAGTAGTGCATTTAAAAGGTCATTTTTTAATTTTTCAAGTAGTTTTTATAATAATAGGAAAAAAATGGTAAAATAACACATGAGGTAAATTTTTTCAACACGTTCCGGCGCTTTTTTAGCTATTTATGGGTATGATTTGACATTTTCGAGTTTCATTATATGTTATTAGTTTTTATCTGAGTAAAATTATTTAGTCTTATAGAATTACTTGAAAATATAACACAAGGTTTATTATAAGTTTTAGTTAGTGTTTAAAAATACCTGAGTGTAATATAAATTTTTTTTTAAAACATTTTATAATCAAATTTTAACCAAAATTTTAAAAATAACGGTATTTCAAACCATGTTTAACCGAACTTGAACTTCGCTCAGAATCGTATGTCACCATCAACGATTTATCGTTGCGTACAGATATAAATTAAATAAATTTATGTATCCTACATTCCAGTGGCAGTATCAACTTTTTTTTAGAAGCTCTTTAAAATATTAGTTTTCAATAAAAATAAATCTACTTTATAAATATTGAAAACTTTCGATAACTTATATGACATTTTCACCAATCGCTAAAGAAAGACGTTTTATTTTCAATGCTCTCTGTAAAAGCTACACAAACTTGAATTTTGACTTTTAAATTTGGACAGTGTATAAAATGACGTCTCAATCCATCAAACAAATTCGATCATACATAAAAATATAATTTTTTTTAAACGAACTTGTAATAATGCTTTAGTGGATATTTTGGTGGTATATAATTCAACGGTATATACTCGTCACATTATCTCTCGTGAGCCGTCTCACATTTTATCTAACTTGGTTCAATACTGGCTACATATGAATTACGTCACTAAGAAAGAAAATGTCCATTGCAACAATCGAATTAGGTCCGTGGTTTTTGCACAATACGACCAAGTTGCGTCCAGAGTTTTTCGGCAATTGTTTACGAGTTGCACCTGTAAGAATAATTATATACTTATTAGGACTTTCAACAACAACTTATTACTTTTGGTAGATTAAAAATATTGATTTTGATCTTTGTTGCAAAGGTAAATTTTAGATTTCCTACTCCGAATAAGTGAATAGGATTAGATATACAGCGTGTACAAAAGGAATTTTTAGGGGTTCAACTCCCCTCCCGAAATTTCATGAAAATAATAATGAAAGTAGATTTTTAATAAAGTCTTAAAAGTGGTTTTTGTCATAGAGAAAGATAAATACAATTAGAGTTTTATTTGTATTTTATTACTAAAACACTACTACATTAGTAGGTATATATTATTATTACTATTATTTATAATTATTTGTAGTTTTCTTGCTTTTAGAATATTATAACTGATACGGTGATATCACATAGTCCGCATTATCACCACAAAAATATGAATTACGTTATCATTTAAGCTGTATTCACTAAAAAAATATTAATTGTAAAATTGAGTAATAGGTAAATATTATAGTAAAACACTAAAAATGAATGCTATAAAATATTAACATTTTTAATGAAAAATAAATAATCCTATGTAAAATTCTTTGTTATAAGAATATGAAAGTGTACAATCTTAATACCCCCCCCCCTCTTGAAATTTGATTTTGTAAATCCGTATATACACATATTGACAGCTCCTTACGGTTCATATCAGAATTCAAAGAAGGATGTGGACACCGCAATAATACAGTGTCCATTTGCCCAAGATGCAAATGTACTAATATACATCAGTTTTGTATTTATCCTTTAAGTAAATAAAGTGTGCACTCCAACTTTGTTTAGATTCGGTGCGTAGCCAGGGAGCTATTTTTTTTCAGCGTTTTAAGATCAAATTTTGATAAATATCGTAAATATGATAGCCTTCAAATCATATATAAACGAACTTTGCTTAGCAACTTTTTTCGTTAACAATGGTTCATCGTTGCTTACAGATATAAATTAAATTATTTTATGTATCCTTTGTTCCCCACTTCCACCTATAATAATGGCACATCCATCAGCAGTATCAACTCTTTTTTTTTTTTAATTTTCTTTTATAATAGATTACGATAGATAATGGATATCCTGGTATAAAAAAAAAAAACAGATTTATTCTTTCGCAAATAATTTTGCAATGGTTCGTTTCTTTAATAAAATCTGGACACCATCAAAGAGACAGGGTACAGTACTACCTATCTATGTATAGAAATAATTAATAGTAGATAAAGGTGGACAAAAGAAACAAAATACGCCTGCATTTTAAATTGAATGCTCTTGGTCGGTTTCGAGGAATTCGAGTAACGCCAACGCAGAAAATACACTTAACCGAATTTACTCTATTATTGAAAAGTTGGACAATCAAAAAAAAAAAAAAAATGGAATTATAATATAAACATCAAAAAAACACAAAATGCTTTAAAGAAAATAATTAATAGTTTTAATAAAATACCTTAATTATCTCATGCAAAAGTATTTAAAATGTGTTGACGATTATTTGTGTTTCTGAATAATATTATCAATGTGTTGTAATCAATTTATTACCGTGAAAGTTTGAAATCGATGTTCCGCGTTCTTCACGTCTATTTCGCTCTGTTTGAGATTAAAATATTTCGTTCGAATTTAACTCGTCCATCGGATTCTATAAGATAGTACAATTTAGGTGCAGTAAATATGTTGACTATATTAATGGACCGCGATCGATTCGCGTATACGTGAGACTTTACTAGTTCAGAAACTTCCGATCGGATATTAATAATAATTTTTCTATATAAGAACTCGGCCATAACGCCCAAAACACATTCGCCTTTAAAATAAGTCACGTAGAGTAACTTTATTACTTAGGTATAAAATAAATGTATGTATAATAATATGCGTCTGTGTGTATACACCCATTTTGATATCGATATGAGTACTCGAATTTTCAAACGATTCATTTTCTTGCAGCTATTATAACTGTACGCAATTACACAAGTTGGTAATAAAAAAACGCCAAGTACATTGTTTTGAACATTTAAATCTATCACCGGAAAACGCCAGAACCGAAATAACAATATAGACATGATGGTATTACATTATATTATATTAAGATCTCGAAGAAGAAGGACTTAAGTCAATTTTGGCATTTATTTTTTGGTTTACATAAGTAAATTTATTGCATAAGTGTCGTGTATATTTTCAAAATATGTGTTTGTAGTATGTATATAAGCGTATTAGTTTCTGTATGTGTATGTGTTTTAAACATTAAATTTTCTTGAATTTTAAATTACGTATGGTAATATTCAATGTAGAAAATGTGATTATATTGAATATTCACCGAATAGCATTTGCCTACAAATGATTCTTAACTGTCCTCAAGAACAAAAATTGATTTTCTTCTTTCTAATATTCTCGTCTTCCACGTATCTCTTTACAAGTTATTCAATTCCAATATATTTACGAATAATACGAACAATATACTACCTACATTATTACAAACTGCAATACCTACAAACTTATAAGCTTTATATTGATACAATAATTTCTGGTGTAGTTATATTATAGAACATGGGAGTTGGTTAAAATAAATCTGGTAAATGTCTTTTTCTCTTCCGATTTATCTGGTGGAGGAAAAAAACAACAAAAAAAAATACGCTTATATGCAAATGCTCGTTTCCGATGAAACGACCTAATATTATAGTAATAAACCAAAGTCGGTTTTTAAGCGCTTGTGCACGTGTACACGTGGCGATTTTCTTCCCACCCACCGCCTCGTAAAAGTGTAAGATGTTTTATTAAAACGTTATATTTTACTGATGTTAATCAGTAAAATATACAGGGTATCCCACAATAAATAAAGATAATGAAAATAATCAAATTCTCTTTTTTATATATATATATATATATATATATTCACAGGGATAAAGGCTACAGATATTTTTATGTTTCAATTATTTTTTTAATGTTTTGATAAACAAATTTTATTTTATTACTTTAAAAAATTTGAGGATGGACATTTTATAGAGTTTATTCTTTTGAACATTTTAACGTACCAATTTTTATTATCATTAGATTTCTTGATTTTTAATAAATTTTTAAAGTTCAAAGAAAAAAATTACTCAGTCAATTAAGAAAAATAATATTAGTCAATTAACGAATTCGATTACAGTCTGCTGCAAAGTTATAAGTTATTTTCTCTGAACTTAATGAAAATAAAAAGTTCATACGTCAACATTTTTAAAAAAAATACTCTAAAAAATTATAAAATACAAAGTAATTTTTATCAAAATATAAAAACTTTAATTCAAATGTACATATTTGTAGTCCTTATCTATGTGAGTAATATATATATATATATAAAAATAAACAGACCGATTATCTTTCTTTCTCAGGAGATATTGCAATGAATATAATCTTCATGGGACACCCTGTATTAGGTAGTATTTTTCATACAAAAATGCATTTTTTTATGTTAATAAGATTTTCAAAGTTATTATCGTTTTATTTCTATAAAATATACTGCAATATAGTGTGCGTGTTTGTTGCGCACAAATTATACGAGTATTTTTGAGTTCGTACAAGCAATAAATAATATAATAACCGTGAGAGTGTAAATTATCGCATGAAACGATTTTAATACGTCCTTTTATCGACACCACCATGTAGATGATCCGTATTTTAATACTCTTGTTACAAATACGATTTTAATATTGGGAAAAAATTAATATTCATGTTTAGTCGTACAAAAAATTTAAAAAATACGCAAAACATATCACATCCGCAAAGAAACCGCGTCACGAATCCCATCACGCCTGCGAGTCTACGAGTCAATGGCAGATACAGACCTTATATTTTCATTTTTTTTTTTTTTTTTTTAGAGGGGGGTAGCAAAACCATTTACAACAATGCATCTTAATGTATATTTCACCACAATACGAGAAAAAATCATACTATATTTCGGTTTTTTGAAAGCAGGGTCAAAATACTCTATTGCTCGCAACCCCATGGATCCACCACTGTAACAGTGTCAAACTTGGCACAAGTTAATATTAAAAATACTTACATGGTTATAATAATATTTTCTATTCTATTTGTTCAGTGTTAATAAATAAAATGTAAATTAAATTCCAAATTCTAAGGACATATTTTATTATTGTTATTGCAGCAATAGTTGTCAACAGATTAAAATTCGAATAAAATTTCCTTCTGTCCACGAAGTGTAAATAAAAATAATAATTAAAATTAATTGTATTTACCTGAATTATAAACTTTTATATAAACTATTGAGTGCAACTTTTTTATCGAATAAGAAAGTCGTATTATTAAAGCTCGGGAGATGTTTTCCCCGCGATCACGTAATTCTATTATTATTATTTTTTTTTTTTTTTTAATGTTTTTCCATTGTGACGTAACCTTAACTTCCTACCATATTTGTAGTCGTCAAATACGAGGTATTTTTTTGTATTCATCAATCACAATATGTAGTTGATTGAATCAAAGTGAACCTTCGAACAAAACTAAATAAGATGCCTATTGAGAAATTCGTACTGTAAAAGACGAGTCGTACTAAAAATGTATCAATACAGAAAAAAAACGGACATAATTTACAATTGTCCTGGCGTTTTTCATCTCAAATTGTTCAGCATTTTTGGTGGGCCAAAAAGTTTTTATTCACCTAAATAGGAAAATCGTACGTAAAATTCTGTGTTTTGTAAGATTTTAATCGAAATGTAACTTTGATGAAACCTTATGTGAAAATTGTTTAATATTGTTAATAGCCAGATATAATTTGAAATCAAATAATAACCAAAGTATTTAAATAATTTAAAATGTCTCAAAAATTAGGAAAATGATTTGAAAAAATTTTTCCACGTCAAGGAAGTGCCTAATATAAGAATAGCAGTGGCGTAGCGACACATTAAAATGCCCGGGGCAAAGCATTTTTTTTTCGCTCTGATAATATAAAATATAAGTTATACTCTTTGTCATTATTGTCACTAAAACATTGCTGTGACTGTATTTCTGATGGATTAATTATATATATATTTTTTTTAACTTCAAATATATTTAATTGTAATCCTTACTATATTATTAATAAACTTATTCGTTGGAGTTGATACTTATCTTTGATAAGTATGTAAGACTAACTTTGATAGTGTCTCATATATCATCAATAAAATTATAATTTTACCGTTCAGATGTATTGGAATCCCTCCAAGAAAAAAGTTAGAGCAAGACAATAGGTCAATTACACTGCAGCGTCATTAAATGAAACCAACTTACAAATATCAGAAATAGATATGGTAATACTTACACCTTCAAATAAATATAATATTCCTTATGGTACTCCATAATAAATACTACGATCGACATACAAAAGTTCCTGGGGCTTCTAAAATTTGTATGTTTTTTTTTATTGAAAAACGTGGGTTCCCGAAATCGAATAAATCTTGAGCCCTAAGCCGTTGAATTCATTAATCCGACTCTGGTGCACCACTGGAATGACTGTAATCGTTTTTTATAATTCTCTTCCTATTTCTTCAACGTTTTAGTTCACTCGCTTAGATCTGTTAGTATAATACTAATAATAATATTAATATAAATAATCAAATACTTATAATTCATCATTGTTCACGTGTTCTTGGCACTCCGCGGTGTTTGTGTAGCGAAAATTATATTAATAACAATAATAATAATAGTTATAGTTATAATAATTTGACCCACAAAATTGTTTTTCGGCCAAAATACAGTGCGTATTATCCATTATAATACATACAGAAATCGAAACATTATTCCGACGGAATTAATACCCGATAAATTAGGGTGGAATGGACACTCTCGGCGGAATTAATAGGTAATAATAATATCCGGTTGTGTCTGACGGAATCGATAAACTGCAAAACGTTAAGTTACACTTATAATCGCACTGAAATACAGTTTGTTGTTTGATATCCTATCCTATCTACGTTTATTTTTCCAAAATATTATTAATTGAAAAACAATTAATTTTGTACTAGTACCCTACGACTTACGAGAATAAAGCTCTTATAATGGGATTTCAAGATAGAAATAATTGTGTTATAGATCCCGTAATACCTAATAATAATTTAACGAAATGGTATCAGATGGTTTTTAGGCTAAAACCATTGTATTGTTGGTAATAGGTATACACGGTATTGGGAAAGCTGCTTTTAAAAAGAAATTCGTACCTGTTCCACGTTTCTTAAAAAAAAGAAACTCGTTTCCTGAATAAATAAATATTTATAATAATAGCTTAATTACCCGCAGTTTCGCATAAAACAGATTTTCCCAGGGCATAATTTTTAACGAATTTCTACCCTGTATTATTTAAAGCCTAGCCATTCCCAGCATATCCCTGGTGCGTATACTTGGATATTAATACCTAGGTTTTAACAGTTTTTATACCTAAATCAGAACTCCATGGTGTTTTTATAAAACCTCCTTGCATAAAATGTTTTTAGTTCTTGTGAAGTAATGCCAAACTATCAAGATAGTTGAGAAACAGAACTCCTTAAATCTACATTTGTAAGCCACAGCCTGTTAAAATACAGTTGCTTCAATTTGCGTCTCTATTTAAGGTGTTCACCATAAGTCGTGTATCATAACGTCAAATTGTGTTAGCATGAAATTACACAAATGCATTACTTGAATCATATTGTTCAAACAAAGATTGTGAATTGGAATTCCTGTTGTGGATGTGTCTTGTTGTAATATGAGTTACAAACATATATACGGGATTATTTATGTTTTTTTAATAAACCTCTTGAAACAATTCATATCTTATTGTTAGTCACACAAAATAAATACGCGTAATTGACGGACTGGTCACAAGTAGTCGGCGAACAGTAACCAGCAGGCTCTACGCTGAATAATACAAATTGTCGATGAAATCCTCTTAAACGTATAATAAATCGGTTTAACTTCAATATATTTTAAAACTACGACTTATTGCACATCTAGAGCATTAGAGGAAACAGTATTCTAAATTTCAATTTCATACGTTTTAAAACGTTTTTCATACCTACGTTTAAAAATAATAAAATGGTAATTCTGTAAATTGTCGTAGATTTCTCACGTTTTTTACGACTATAAGGAAAACTAGAAGAAAAAATGATCTTCCAACGCAACGACTAGACAAAATATTTATATTGAATATCTATTCAAATTTAATCGCTGTTGTATCATGATGTATGATAGGTTTATTATTTATTTAGTTAATATTACAATGTCCAATACGATTATGTACTACAATATACATATATTATTAAAAAATACGTTTTTATTAACAAGCCTTTTATGTAATATGTTGATCGTGAGCTGCAAGCATTCAAAAAAATATAAAGTCTCCACAGTAAAGGCATATTAAAGGGTGGTATTAGGAGCAACTGTTCGCTTTTGAGAGCTTTTTATTAAGACCAATAATAAAAATAAATAAATACTAGACGTGATTTTTGGTAGAAAATTTTGACTAGTTTGAACTAGAATTAGACCTTTTTTAATTTTCTATTTACTTTTCAACAATAATATATAGGAAAAATAATTGGAAAACAGAAACTTTTACGGAACAATAGTTTCTGTTAAAACCATTTTTGTTCTTTTGTTGTAAATTAATGAAAAGTATTCCTAGTGACCTAAAATGTCCACAAAGGCTCATTCTAGTACTCTAGATGTGGTAAAATATCGAAAATATCCTGGTATTATTTAAGTATTATTTATAATTACCTATTTGAATTTATAAAGTATTTTTAGTCACTTTTAACCCGATTAAAATATAAAAGATAAGTAGTAATATTTTGTCATCAATTGAATAAATGAAATTTAATAATTTGGTCAAAAAAAATATAGTAGACAATTATTTTATTATTATTTTTATTTTATTTTTTCCTTATAAAAATATTTATAAAATCGTATCAACAAACGATTTTAGATACTCTTAAATCTCCTAATATTTAAACAACTTTTGTTGAATGAGTTATTCTTGAGGCCGTTTTTTATTTTATTTTACTAACTAGCGATTTATAATTATAATAATAATCCAACAACACCGTCGGGGTAAATGAAGTGAGATGAAAACCCGCTCAACAACCGCAGTATCCAGTGTACGAGGGTACCTACCCGTATAATGGACTGGTAGATTAAGAGGATTTAGAAATGTCAAAATTATGCACTCGCCTGACAATCCCGCGCTGTCAGATTGTGCCGTGGCAATCGGTGACGACGATGACGTGCCGACAGAAGAAGAAAAATTGCTATCGTTTGTTAATGAAAAATTACGTTGATAATATTATTTATATATATATATACATATCGAAACGCGACCATCATATTGGAATTCGAGCAGATAATTTAAAATTATAATTTTCAAATATTTCATAAAAAAAAATGTACATATATAACTTATATAAATATAACTATACTATACTATACATATATAACTTATACAAAATTAGTTTGGTACCCTAAATCTGCTCTTGGTCAATTTCATATCATCTATCTTCTTCTTCTTTTCCTTCACCTTCATTCTAACTATTCGGAGTCAGCCAACCTTAATTTAAACTTCCATTTGACCCAATCTCCCACCTCTCATACACCAATTGTTAGCATAAGATTCTCAACCTATCGTTCCTTCTACGTATATTTTCGTTATAATTATTACTACTTCAGATTCCTCTATCCTCGTGACATGCTTAAACTATCTCATTTTATTTCCTTATTTTTTCTACTTTCAAAGTTAAGATCTTTTTTTTTTGTCATTGTTTAATTTGTTTGCATAAAATTAGAACTAATAACAAAATTGATGAGTCGTACTCAAAGAGTTACGACTTTATACTTATCAAGTGGATCACCATAATCGGTGGTTTCAAATGTCAAATAACCACAGCACACCAAGTGAATGCTCACGACACACCAGTGTACCGCGCACAGAGTTTGAAAATCACAATCTTATGTACTCATCCCTTATACAATCTTTTATCGTCACTCCACTCATCCACCTAAGTATTCTCATATCAGCTACTCTTATTCTCTGTTCTATTTTTTTGTTTACAGCCCAACATTTTCAAACATACAACATAGTTTCATCACATTTTTTAAAACTTATTTTTAAGTTTGAAATTCTCTTATTATATAAAATACCTGACACTTCTCACTATTTTATCTAATAAAACTTAATATTATGTTTCACATCATCATAACAGCCAAATCATTTTTTTTTGTTCTAAAGATCATAGGTTCTTAGAACTCTAAATCTCGTCTATTATTACTAATTAGTATTGTTAACTACGCTGTACTTTTCCTCTAAACTTATACTATGTTTTACTTCTACTTATCTTTAGTCTCTTTCCTTCACGTGCTACTTTCCATTCCTCAAGTGTGTTCTTGACATATTCAAGATGTTCTCCTATTAAAGCTATACCATCTGCAAACATCATACAGCATGCGGTACCTCTTCTCAACTATTATCCTCACACACATCTGGGATGGGACAATTCTTCATACTGTTTGATAGAATTTTACACCGGCTATCGACCTGACACAGTTCCATTTTTTGCTTATATCTGTCGGTAGATGTACTGTGGAAGTATTCTGATTCTATCCCACAGAAGAATGGTATTGTCAATTATAATGTGAATTACTAGACCTTACAGAAACAATATCATACATTATACCTACTGGAATCATCCACCTGAGCTTTCCATCAGTATGTGCTCGGATCCCCGGTTCACTAAACTCGTAGTATCATATGCCTCCTGGGGTAAATTTCGTATCGGATGTGCATACCTATTATTATTTCTCGCATCACTCTAATTTAGCGGACTTGCCAAATAATGTGAGCCCTCGTGAACCACCCTGTGTATATGGAATTGCAGGACACGTTTGTTGTTACCACATTATATTGTCCGGTAAATTGTAAACATAGAGGATTCCTTTTTGGGGCAAACAAAAAAAAATAAAAATGATATCAAATATAACTACACAATATAATATCATGTAATCATATTATTATATACTCGTACGTGTACAATATAACCTATATTCTCCAGTGTAGTATTTTATTTTCTTTAGGGGAGGGAGCAAGTGTGATGAACAAAAATAGATATCACGTAACACACGGGCAGCGATAGAAAATCGTACAAGTTTCGATGACAATTCCCACCTACTCAACAGAGTAAATATACGTACCTACGACAAGAAATATTGGATTACACCACATTTCTGTAATCAAAATTGAAAGAGATTCCTTGCCGTGAACCGGTGAAAAATACGATCGAATTATCTATATATTATATTATAGAGAGTATTATATGTATACGGTTTTATTATACGAATGCGGGGGTGCATGTAAGAGAAACCTAATATAATTGTACAGAGAAGTTTTATTTTCCGAAAAATATGAAATATTTTCGTTGATTTTTTTTCCTATTCTTTATTGTCACCAGACTGACCACCCGGGCTCGACAAAATTAAATTAGGTACCTCTACTTACTAGAAAAATGGAAAACATGAAGCGAATGCGGTAATATATCGCTCAATATGTGAATAATACAAATCGATTCATACGTACTAGAGGAAATGGGAGAAAAGTAGAGTATACGAGTATACTCGTATTTAAACACGACCACTATAACTTATCAGGAGATTTTTTTTTCTTCTTAAGCAGATGATTACAGATACTGAAATCACCTTCTATATTTTTCCTGAAATTTTACTTTTATCTTCACAACGGTGCCGTGCAAACAGACCAAATTGAATAATATGTATTATGATATTAAACACATGAACACGAACCGATAAAATAACTTATCCTTATGATTAGAGAGCCTAAAATAATACAAATATCATAGTGACCACGCAAAATTATATCCCTCTTCCCCTTAAATTATTAATATAGGTAATATTTTGCAAAAACAATTAACCTTAAGGCGCTAAAACAACTGATTGTACGTTGATAACCAACTTTCTATTATAATATGCATTTATCTAACGCCCACCTAGTTTATCCACCCACCTACTCGATCACCCATTTGAAAAACCTACGAGTAGTGGAGAAAATATCACGTACCTGGTAACATCTTTTTTTACCAATAAGTATTAGGTACTTATATTGACTACTTATGAATACTTATTCTTATAATGAACTTTATATTAAATTTTTAGCATTTTTACTACTTAAAAACAATTTTATCAAATAAAATAGAATAAAGTAAATGATCTGTGTACCAGCTATTTTACTACAATTTACAATCATAAAACTTTTTCTGGAAGGAAATCTGCCTAGGTTGGTACTTTAAGAAGGTCATTTTTTTGGTTTTCCTAGAAGTTTTCCCAATGAATGGAAAAAACATGGCAAAAACTAGGAAAATGTACGAAATGTATAGGTACCAGTTGAAAAATATTACGGGCTTATTTATTCTGTAAACAACTTTTCTACAAGAAATTTTGTTCCGATTTTCAAGTGTAGCACTTTTTCTGAAAGACAATCTAACTGGGATGGTAATTTAAGAAGGTTGTCATAGATTTTCTCAGGGGTTATCATAATAAATGGGAAAAACCGGGGAAAATAATAAAATGGGAAAATGTACAGAATGTATTATTTTCAATCGAAATTATTACAGCCATTCAAAACATGTGTAACCGAAATCCGCTCAGAATCATTTTTCGTTAGCAATAATTAATCGTTATTTACATTAAATTTCTCTTACACCTTTCCACTTCTTATCTACAACAGTGGCCCATTCATCGTGCAAATTATGTCGGTTTTTTTTTTTTTATACTGCATTTTGTATATTTACGACAATAGTTAATAAGTGATAACACATTAATATATTTATGATTACTAAGGTGACAATAGAATTATTATCATCGGGACAACAAGAGTATTATCACTACCAAAGAATTAAGACGTCGTCAATAATAATCAAAGACGGTTTAAATTCACTCTCGATAAATATGCTGGGTAGAGTATGGTCTGTATAATGGCGTTTAGTTATTTCAAATATATAATTTATAATGCACCTATCTGCTGTAACTATTTAATATTTACGAATATCTTATTTTAGGACCTCGTATTCGTATACAGCGTGATATTTTAGATTCAGAGTAGAGCGAAGAAGCTTATGGTTTTTTTAACAGTGCACAACATTTTTACCAGAAATCTTGCTCGGATTTACAATGATAGCACTCTTTCTTAAAGGAAACCTGACTGGAAAAGTACTTTAGGAAGGTAATTTTTCAATTTTCCCCAGAGTTTTTCCAGAAAATATGAAAAACGAGTATAAAATATGGGAAAATCGGGAAAAACATAGGGAAACTGAGAAAATCGATACAACATTAAACAAATATTATTGAAGAAAATATTTAAAGCCTATTTAATTATTTTAGTGTAATATGATATATATATATTGTTGACAAAGCATCACTATTAACTTAACTTCGCTCAGAATCTTTTTTCGTAAGCAATGATTTATCGTTGTTTATAGATTACATTAAATTACCTACCTATAACAGTAACTATACCCGTCCCAATTATCCTAGGATATCTTTTTAAATGTGTAATTCTTCTAAAAATTTAATAATTAAAGGTCCACAACTCTGAGACAAGCGGAACAACAAAACTCCTCTCTATCTAAATGTTCAGGAGAAGGTTTACACTTTGTTTACCTACTATTTTCCTATCTTCACACATATAACAACAGTTACCCATCGTCTGACTTCAACATTTGTATGGTAGCATTATGCGCGGTGTATTATTAGTGCTCCACTACTCTCCCTCTACCTATACTTAAAAGTGAAATATCTCGTCATCGGATTGCCGGAAATCAAAAATTCCAACACTAAAACTTCTTTTAACAAATACTCCATCTAATTATGGGCTTTTTAATATAGGTTGCTATTTTAAAATCAAAAGTAAGTAGTAATTTTACTCCCAAAAATAAAGGTGACAAAAAATAACATAAATATAAAATTGTAGAGTAACTTGTTTCTTAAATGTTACGAAAAACAAATTCTGGAAAAGTTAATACTTCCCGAGATAATAAGTGTAACCATTTAAATGATCACTTGGTATAACGACTAATACGCAAAAAATTAACATTCCAAAACTTTTCGTACATTGTAATTCCGTAACAACACCAGGTCTGGGCAAGTTAATGAATTTTTTAACTAATTTAAGTTAANTAATTAATATGGTAATCACACCAATTAAGTTAAAGATTAAGTTAACAAATTTGGTTAACTTAACTTAACTTCAATTAATAAGTTAAGTTAATTACAAGAAAAAAATAAAAATTCGTAAGGTGTCAAAGTAAGAGATTTCTACTCATAATTTACAAAACTTAATAAACATTACAATGAAAACAAATACATTAACCTCAGCCATGCATGTTTTCTAATTTTTTACCCTACATTAATGTAGAAAAAAGTATTTAGATAAAATTTCTTTGTTAAGATGGTTTTAAAATACTCAAATGTCAGATTTATGATAATTTTTGTAGTTTTATTCATTTGTCACTCATAATGATAATATCACATAATAATAATTCACTGTGGAACAATGACCAAATGTTAAATAATTATTTTATTGAATAGTCTTTTAAATTTGCAATTATTCATTCCAATACCTATAAAACAGTCTTAATGTATTATTTATTATTGAAAAAAATGTATTATTTTCAATTATTCCATATTTTGTAGTGGTATCTTAATTAATAATGTAGTATCATAGACAATACATAAACCTAGGTGATGACTCCTACAAGGTGAACTTATTAATGTAATTTAAAAAAAAATATATTTTTAAGTTCATAAACATACTATGTCTATCAAAAGACAAAAACCAAAAATAATTTCTGCGGTTTAAAGTTAAAATTTTACAACAGACACAATACATAATAATAAAGATAATATATTAATGTTATACTGTTTATTTAAAATAAAACAAAAAAACAACTAACTGGTCAATCAAAATACCTATTAAATTTAATTAATAATGACATCTCAAAATTTTGGTCTGCCATTGATTCTCTTCTTTTGCTCAACAACTGACCTCCAGCACTGAATAACCGTTTCACATGTGCAGAAGAAGGTACGGCAGTATTATATTTAATATACATATCCTTGAGGATAGTTGGCATTTCTAATGGAGATTTTAAATTTCCATTAGACAAATAATTATTGACCAGAAGTTTGATATCAACATTTGTATCGGAACTATTTTCCCCAAAACTAAAAAAATCATCCTTGGAATCACTATTAGTGCTGGGACATTCTCTAGACAAAGCACTAGATATAGATTGTAGATTATATTCTTCAGATTTTATTTCTGTTGTTGAATAATCAACTACAGTTTCTATAAAAGTATTCTTAATGCCGTTCCGTTCTTCTTGTGTAACCCAATTTAATTTAAATTTTGGAACTAAACAGGCTGCAATTTGGCACATCTTGGACTGCATGTATATCATGAATCTAAAAATTAAAATATAAATGATTTTATGAAGTTATTTCAATACAATTTTTATATTTACTTATTTTAAATATATATTAATCAAATTACGTATAAAACAAAGACTATCTAACAGTTAATTTAATTTATCTTTTTGAGGCAATATTAGAATACAGCATTTAACTTTTCCACTATTTTGACAAAAATATTGATAATAAGAACCATAAATTATTAAAAGTTTTAAAACAAAATGCATGGTATTTATATTTATTAAAATATAGTTATTAAAAAATAAAACTAAAATTCTGGTTCTAGTGTTGGTATATTAATTATTATGTAATACGAATACCTAATTTAATTAACACAAAATTATATTTTTATCATTTTCTTAAGCATTTCATGTATTTAGTTACTTAGTTAAGTACTATTTTAAACAGAAATATTACCTTTTATTTAATCCCCGTTGAAGAGCATTCACAAGTGGTTTGCAAAAAATAATATTGNAAATATTAAATATGTATGTAAAAGTTACATTGATGTATTCTTGTAGGAATGAGACTTCACGAGGACTTGAAATGGTAGGCAGTTGTAAATCAGTACATACTTGGTCCATCTTTTCCTTGTTATCAACAATGCATTTTATAGCGTCATAATAAGAATTCCATTTGCATAAAACAAAATAATATTATAATAATTTATTCTTGAATAATATATAGTTTATTGAAACTAGTACAGAGATACCTGGTGGCATTCGGTGTGATGAGATACCGTCCAAGATGATTTTTAATTATATCTGCACTTAATGTAGACTGATTTTGCTTGTTGAAAATCGCTTGACATTTTTTAAACACTTTTAGGCTTATGGTCCTATATGCAAAATCTTTTTCAGCTTCTTGAATATCAACAGATGCTATTAAGTTTAATGTGTCAGCCGAACAACGTTGGTGTGGGGGCAATGATATATTCAGAAGTTGATCAATGTTCTGTTCTGAACTAAGAGCATTAGTGATTTCAACAGAGACTTCAATAGCCCCAGTTAAATCAATATCATCATTTGTAGCAGAATCATTATCATTTTTACTGTATACTCTATAAAATAATGAAATTGAGATTATATTTTGATTATATAATATTTATTAACCAAAAAAGCAAACAGTAATATCCCATTGATTTATTTTTCATCTTAAATTATTTTAATAATTAAATCTAATTTAAATATTTTAAAAATTTAACTGATATCAATATGCATTTAGAATTTATTAACAATATTATGAATGAAATACCTATCAACTAGATTTTTTTAAAGTTGTTGGTTAAATTTATTTAAAGTAATTAACATAAAAAGTTAATAGTTTGTATTTTTGAAACAGTTAAAAACCAAAATATTCATTTTCTGTTTTAGTAAAAGCTTATTTTGAAGGAAAACTCAAAGTAACATATGAGAAATTATTTCTTAATTTTAACTGCATAAAACATTTTTTTTTAATCTTTACGAGGACATAGAAATCTGGCCTCTAGTAATTAGTAGAAGTTCTTGTAAAATATAAATCAAATTTAACAATGGAAAATTATTGAGTATAAAAAAAATACCTACTTACCTAAAACTTTTTACAAAATTTGCAGCATTGTCTGTGACTATTAAAGTTGTTTTATTTTGAATTTTAAATTCATTGAGCACTTTGTCTATTGATTCTGCAATATTATCATATGTGAGTCTTCCTATCATTCGCCTGCAAGCTAGTGCTTTAGAACATCTTTCCAATGTCAAAGGATTAATCCAGTGGATTGTAAATCCTATGTATGATCTAAAATAATCAAAATAAAAATTTAATTTATCTACATAAAATATAATTATATTATATTATATATTATTACCTGTGAAATATGCTCCAACAATCTGCTGTAATACATACGTATTTAATTTTTTCCAAGTCTCTGACAATTTCACTAATCATTTTGACGTATAAAAATTATACATCACGCATGAAGTTTCTACGTGATGCAGGAACTTTATTAGATGTCACACTACAATAGTTTATAAATGCAGGATGTTCCTAAAATTAAGGAATTGTAAAATATCCCGAATATCTACTATTTAGTACGAGTATTACAGAATATATTTTTGAATATAAACCATACAGCCGGTTTCCGAAAACGTATACGGTGTACGGACAATATACGTATGCATATTGTACAGGTACATATAGGCACTACAATATACCAACCTAATCAATTCATTTGTTCAATAGGTATTGTTTTATAGAACTATATTGATAATAATATCGTAATATTTCTGTAATTAATATGACTTGCTTGGATAACTATTGTCCGTATTTAATAATCAATAACGGCGATTTGTGTGACAAAACGAAAATGTTGATCGTTTGCGCTGTGCGTCGTTTTTCTAGTGAATATAATAATGCGAAACGTAAAATAATACGCAATACCGCAATAACAACAATCAACACCACAGCGGCTAACGCGGTAGTGTCGTTTGCGCGGGAGCAAGCCGTAGGGACATGAGCAAAATGTATAATACTATTAATACTAATACGTAACATATTTATGTATGCATGTATGTATATATTAGATAAGGTAGACGGCTACCATTCGCAACAACAACAATATAATTCGCGGACTCGTTGCTATTAATGGTAACTTACGGCCTATTGGCTATCACTGACTCACGGTCGTTTATACGATCCGAATATTGTTTCCCGGTACCCCCCTATCATTGCGCTCAAAACGTTCTTGTCTTTTAATAAAAATATATTATTCTTCGGAATCTTTTATTTTATCTTTGACAATTTTCCAGATTCTATGAACTTGTCTAATCGAACTTCGCATTGAACAAAAACGTTTTTCTGGTTTTGAAATTCAAAATTAACTTAATTTGACCTTGGAGAAAACGAGTTAAGTTAATTTTATCTGAAGGAATTAAGTTAAGTTAATAAGTTAACATAACTTAACTTTTAACTTAACACGTAACTCATTAACTCGTTAATGCCCAGGCTTGAACAACACGCATCGTAACACTCGTAACTGTATCACTAATGTTTTATTTTTATCTACACGACCATATTATCCTTTTCGAAAAACTTGAAACGAATTATGACCGACGTGTAATATTATTCAATATATTATGCACGAGTATGTTGTCGTATAAATGTAATAGAACGGACACGCACACCGGAAATCTTTACAAACTCGACACGTCGAGGATTTTATTATCGTCGACATCTGCAAGTGCCTTTTTGTCGAGTTTATATACTATCATACTTCCCTGCAGTATAATTCCCATATAAACAACCGTGTCACCTCATAAATTATTATAACAATATTATTCTTATTCGTAAACACAACCAGGGAGGTGCTAGCGAATCTTTAGCACCCTCCAAAAAAACCCTATCAGCTTTTTCATAGTAACGACTCAATATTTTATTCGTGTATTTCATAATTAAGAGGACGTCTCACGAAAACGTATTGACATACAACGTTCGAGAGATAGCGTTGTTTGCCGTATCACCGTATAAAGTGCCTTGATAGAGAGAGTTTGACCATACGGAGGGTTGCTCTGGACAACAGATTTGACCGCCATTAGTTGACTATTTTTCGTTATGATAAGGTGTTTTAACACGCGTTACTTTAATATATCATATGAATTTTTTTTTTAAATTTAAAAGCCATTTAGTTATTCTTAAATGTATGTTAAATCACTAGTGTATGTTTTCAGACAAGTATGAAAGTATATAAGTTTCCAGGAGATTTCCCAATAAATTGGAAAAAACGGGGAAATGCACGAATGTATAGTAAAATATTACGGCCTTTTTATTCCATTTTTAACAACTTTTCTACGAGCAATTTTGAAAATTAAAACAAATATCTACGGTGATAGCATTTTTCCTGAAAAGGAAATCTGACTGGGGCCCTGATACCACCGGTATTACTGGTGGTACTTAAAAGTGGTTTTTTTTTTATTTTCCTTGGAGTTTTTCCAACAAATGAGAAAAAAAAAAACGGGAAAATGTACGAAATGTAGGTATAAGTAAAAAAATCTTACGGCTTTTTGTTGTCATTTATTTTTATTTTGTTATTATTAAAATTAATTTTATTATTTTAAAATCTT